TTGTGATTTGGAATCGATTATAGTAGTTGAACTTGCCTATGTAAGTTGATCATTCCTCTCTACATTCATTCACCAAATTTGTTTGCGAGCACTCAGGTATGATACTCGGTTCCTAGTTGTTTATTTTACTTCCGCTTAGGCCGTTGGACTGCTTTTTCCAACAGTTGTGTAAGTAACAAAATATTTGCTAATTTTCATAAGTTCGCCCTTGTAGATAATAGAATTTTTAGAATCTAAAGTCCACTATCTAGACTCTAGACCATAGACCAAAATACCCCCACTCTTTAATGCTGTAAACAGGGACTTAAAACTCTTAGGCCAAACTAGAAACCAAGAATATCCAAAGCCTGTTCATGACTAAAATTCCTTTATGATCTTGAACAATGACCGATAACTGTTTCAGATAAAGCCATGTCATCAAGACGCCAGTTATCAGCCATGAAAAGTTATCTTTTTATCCCTTTCTTGAACGGTCATGGAAACATGAAAACATATTAGTGAGGGAGAATCATATAGAGCATAACTGGACATGAAAGGGATAGAGAGAGAGAAATAACATCATCAGACAGTTCATAGAAATTCAGGAAAAATCTCTTTCCCCCTCTCTCTCTCTATGGTACCTTTTATGAAGAATCTGAATCTACCTTTCTTTATAATGTTATATCCAGCAAACCCTCTCATTGTTAAGACTTTAATCATGCAGATACCCATCACAAAAATGTATATTTACTCCCCGAAATATAGAGTATACAATATTTTTGTATTCTTGTTAGAAAGTTTAAAATGAAAGGCATCACAATAAATCCACTTCGCACAATGAATTTGTAGAGAAATATGGATAGTACAACCAAGATCATTAAGGAAATGGTTATAAATATTGTTGTCTCTTATTATCTCACTTAGAGGGAAGAACATGGGCCCAAAACTTAAGATGTTCCTTCATATCGATGTTTTGATTAAATTTAGACATTGTCCATTGAATCAAATGGTTGTGAGTTTCTAGCTGATTAGTGGAGGCCAAGAATAATTAATATGAATCTATGACTCAATTTAGTCTCATCAAATGTTAAAACCCATGTGCATAAACCTTGTAGAATATTAGTTCTCAGACTTTTGTCCTAGCAAGAGCAATTTATGGGTGCTAAAAAAGTTTTGAGATGGACTTTCTGGTTTCTTAGATTATGGCATCTTCGGCAGATAAGACTAACCACATATCCAATGATTGGTCTCACTTAGTGATCTTTGGTATGGTGATGGTCTTACATCACAGTCTTAACACTGTGACATGTCCACCAGAGCTCATGTTCATCTTGGAATGGATCTTCACTATCCTAAACCATAACTATAACTAGATTGTATGTTCTTCTATGCAAGAAAAGAAGCCATTGAATAATGATTCTCTTTGTGAGTGGAACCAAATCTATGGGTTTGAGTTAAATTGTGCCTTGTTTTAATGTGAACTTGAAAACTTAAAACCAAGCAGCCCAAACACCGCCTCAATTGTCATATATGGTGGTCGTAGGCATTCTCCATAATCAGAAAGAACCAGCTTTTCTCAACATGGTGGAGGACGTAGTTGTAGTAACCTTTCCTTTTTCTTTTGGCACATATGGAAGGAAAGAAACAACAGAGTTATTGCTGATAGGCAGTGCTCTTAGGAAATTGTTAAAAGCAAGGCAGATTTAGGCTCGTTTCTTGGATTCAGGCTTAGAAGTTTTGTAGACCCCTTTCTAGAGAAGAAATCCTTAGAAACGGCGACACACTCACCCAAATTGGAACAAAAAGTTGACGAGAGCTTCTATATGAATTCTGCCACATGAAGGATGGTTTAAGCTCAATTTTGATAGAACAAAAGGTTGACAGGAGCTTCTATTTTCTCTTAATCGGTGCCACTTCGCCCATGATTGCTAATGAAGCAGAGCTTTGGGCAATCAAAATTGGAGTTTTAAAGCTTCAAGAACAATGTTCAAGATTGTCATCGAGGAAGACTCCATGAACGTAATCTGCTGGTACTCAAATCCTACCTCGACACCTTCGAAATACAGACTTATCGTTTTTGAAATTCGCCTCATCTTATTGTCTAGAGTCGTTCCTTTCCGCCGTATCTTTCAAGAAAGGAACAATGCGGATACTCAAGCAAAAGCTTCTTCCTGACCTTTTGAGGGCTACGTCCCTATTCATTTCTCTCCTATTCTCTTTTCTTTCCTTTCTTTTTCTCTCATCTCCTATGCTTTTTGCTCTCTCTTCTTTCCCTGCCTCTTTTCTTCTTGTACATTGCTCATTGTACACCTTTCTTATTCAATGATTTCTTATTAACAGTAAAACAAAAAAAACAAAAACAGGATTGGCCTTAAAAATACAAAAGCATGAGCATGAAAACAGACATAGGGTTGATCCATGGGACAATCTCATTACAAGGGCTAAGGAGTATGGAGGTAAAGTACCACATTGATTGAAACCCCGAGAATATAGCATTCCAAAGGACTTCTTTTTTCTTTTTTTATGGTCAATGTTGGTGCAAGTAGTGGAAAGGTTTACATGGATGCTGGTGTTGACCCAGACCCGAAAAAATGATATGGGACCCGGACCTGGTCCCAACTAGATTTGAATTCACCGGCCTTGGACCAGGGCTTAGACCCAAAAATATAGTGTGGGACCCAGACCGATCGGATCCAGACCCAAACCCAACCTGCCAAGTCAAATTTTTGGATCCGGACCCGATCGAACCCGGATCCAAACCCAACCCGCCTGGTCTAATTTTTGGACCCATACATGGACCCAGACCTAGACGTAGACCCAGACCAAAACCCAACCCGCCAAATCCAATTTTTGGACCCATACCCAGATCAGGTCTAGTCCTTGGGTGCCGGGTCGGGTCAGGGTCCATTGCCACCTAAGTTGGGAAGCATTGAAACTAGGTTCGGATGCTATGTCACCTTCATGCCATAAGGTCATCATCAATCTTAACTGTCAGATGTGGAAGACAGCAGCTTGGGTTCTGCTTTTAATTTCAATTTTACATTGGATAAAGATATATGTGACCTCTCGGAACAACAAGATGAGTAGTCTTATTGCATACTTTTTCTTGACAAGATTCGGTATCACAACATAAAGCAAGAGACTTTGCTACTAAATTCACCAATTTACACATTGTCAAATGACTAATAATTCTTGGGTAGGAACCGGTCTACGGTGTGAGAGGGAGACTAAGCTTAGTACATCAATTTCTAAGAGAAAGAGAGGACGAGATAAAAAAAGAAATGTGGCCCCACCTCCACCTAAGGATGGCAATGGACCAGGCCAACCCTGCCCCTTATATGGCCGGGCCAAACGGAACTGGGCTAGCAATGTTGTAAGCCAGGCCCCTAAGCCACAGTTTGTGGCCCAGGGCCTACTATTTTAGGGCGAGGATCCAGGGCGACCACCCGGCCCATTACTAGCCCTAACTCCACTATGGTCATGTGTTTTATGCAAGTGTGAGAGCATGTATGTAATTTCTACAGTGTTTAAAATATAGTGGAGCCTATAATCGAATCCATTCAGAATCACCCGAGTCGGATCAAAACTATTGGTGGTGCAATCCAATTCTGCTACAAAATTGAGAATCGCCCCTTTTTCGTGATATCATTTGGTTTACTACAGTGTCAATACTCCGATTAGTTATTCACTAGGATTTGGGAATCGCCGGATTATTTAAAAATCAGGCGGTTCCCAAAAGTGCATTAATGAGGTCCCAAACAAAGCCCTCCCTCTAGAAAATGAAATTGATTTCTTATGGGTTATTCCAATTTGGTTTTGTTGAGAAAGAAATGAGGGTTGAAATGGGGCTTTTCAGAGATCAGAAGATCAACAATAAAAGTGGGAATCTCACCTGGTGCTTACCCTAAAGAGAGAGGGAGAGATTGGGAATGGGTTCGGAGCATTCGTGATTTGGGGGGCAGGTGCCTCAACGTAATGTCCATTGCTCTATTTCCATCATTAACACTTTGAAAAATAAATAACGAAAGAGATTAGAAATAAAAGAAAAAATACGGAAACCATTTACCTTTACAAGATGGTGACAAATGATCTTGAGATAAAAATATAAACGAGAAAATAACTAATACATTAATTTTATTTTATTTTTGGAATATTAAGATGTGACCTAGTAGGAATCTAACCCAATATTTCATTTGGCACCTTAAGACAAAAAGCACCTTGAGCCCACTCATAAGACCAAAAAGCACCTTGAGCCCACTCATAAGACCAAAAAAGGAGGTACAAAAATCTTGAAAGATAAAAAACAGGGTAGTGCACATTAATAGGAAATCAAGTTTCTGAAATGCTCGGAGTTTCATTCCCTTTCTCTCTCGGATAAAAAAGTTAGGTCCCCTTAAAATCCTTTAGTCCTCAACCTATGTTATTTCATCATAAAAATTTCGCAAACCACAATAATGCGTTATTCGAAATCATTTGACAAATATTCCCCGGTTTTACTCAAACCCTTTACATCTATACTAGCCCAACTATGCCGAGCCAAATCAGAATCGTCAATCCAACTCAATCTCACATGGATATGGATAGGTTTAAGAGGTTTATACAGAGCCGAGGCTCTAAACAATCAAATTAGAGCCTACCTCCAAAATTCCACTACAAGAGGTTGTTTTGATGCCCAAATATCCTCAAATTGATCATCTGACATCAAGATGCATGGACATGAAAAAAAAATAGACTTCAAATTTTAAAAATAGTGATGCATTTTTGGACCGTCAATTTTCAAGATTTTCAAATTTTTATAGATCTACTTTATTTACACTATTTTCTAAGCCTTAAATTTTATAATTAAAGATAAAAATATATTTTAAAACTAACACAAAGATTTCCATTGAAACATTTGAGGGTAGGCTCTAATTTGATTGTTTAGACCCATTTTTAAAACCCTGATTTTATGTGTATGTGAGTTGCCATATGAAGTAAACCTCAATAGCAAGCTGCCAGGCATCATTCATCCGCATCACAAAAACTGTGAAAACCTCCATTCATATGAATACATCCTATCATTTCACAATCTTTGAACAAGAACATTACTCGCAAGTAACTGTAACTAACTTGTATCCTCAATTCTATACCAAATTTCTAGTGAATACCTAGTCCTTGTATTCTCTTAACCAGAGCCAAGGAGCAAGCATGCCTTGCTTCCCAGTCCTCCCTACTCTCCCCACCAGACCCTCTAAGCAACGAGTTCAAGCAGTCATCATTGCCCCCCAAAATGCTCACAACCTGCCTGATGCTTGGCCTCACCCTGGGCTCGAACCTAGTGCACACCACACCCAGTTTCACGAGCCTCATGAGCTCAGACCCATCGAACTCGTCGTCGAGCCGAGGATCCACGCAATCGTGCAACAACTCCCTCCCCTCCATCGCACGCACCCACCTCACCAGTAACACCTCTGGCGTCCGAAAGTCAACCGCCATTCTACCTGTCACCATCTCCAGAAGCACAACCCCGAAACTGTACACATCGGCCGCGGCTGAAGCCTCGCCTGTCTCTATGTACTCTGGTGCCATGTAACCAAATATGCCACGCACTGAGCTCTCGGTGCCAGACACTGAGTGCCCCTGCGCGTTTCGCACTAGGAACTCTGCCAGAGCAAACGCTCCAAGCCGTGGGCTGAGGTCAGGGTCGAGGACTATGGACGATGAGGTGACACTCTTGTGGATGACTTGCTCCTCCCACTCCTCATGTAGGTAAAGCAGCGCGGAGGCGAGGGCCTGTGCAATGCGGTAGCGGTGTCGCCATCCCAGTACAGTGGTCTTTTGGTGGAAGAGGAGCTTCGAGAGGGAGCGGCCCGCGAGATAGTCATAGACAACGAGCATCTCACCACGCTCGGTGCACCAACCACGCAATTGCACAACATGGCGATGACGAAGGCGCCCGAGGTTGCGGAGCTCTCCGGCAAAGCGATCCCGGAGAGCAGGGCACGTCTTCCAACCAAGCCGCTTGACGAGGATGTGAGCCCTGCGGGTGCTGGGCAGGATGCCATGGTAGGCTGTGCCGAAGTCCAATTCTGCCACTTTTCGGGTGCTCGAAAAGTTGTCAGTGGCAGCAGCCAGATCCTCGTAGGTGAATTCTCGTGGGGTGTCGACCATGACTGGAAGGGATGTTGAGCCGGAGCTCCAGTCAGAGGCTCCACTAGAGGCTGAGCTACTGGTACGAGCGGTTACATAGTTTGTGGTGGTGGCGGTGGTGATTATAGTGGCAGTGGTGGTGGTGGTGGTGGTGGTGGTTGTGGTTGTGTCTGTATTTGATGATAACGAGATGTAGAAAGGGAGACCCTGGAAAGATGGAAGAGAGGGCAGCTCATTTATGTCTCCGCAGAGCACCTCATTGACCCATTTCATGGTGGGCCGAGCTTGTGGGTCGTTGAGACTGCAGAGGAGACCAAGGTGGATGAGGCAGCGCATCTCGGCAAGGGCGTACGAGCCATCCGGCAGCCGAGGGTCCCCGGCATCGAGAGGCTTCCCAGAATCATAGAGTCGGCGGACCCAGTCCAGCAGAACGATCTGCTCATCAGGGAAGCTGAGATCGACTGCACGCCTTCCCGAAGCAATCTCAAGCACCACGACCCCGAAGCTGAACACATCTGACTTAGCAGTCGCAACGTTGCGCTTCCGGAAGCTCTCCGGCGGGAGGTACCCAATGGTGCCCCCTATCTTACTGGTCTCAGCCAGCCGAAACTGCGAACAATAGTAAGCAGTTGACACAGACGACAAGGACGACGAGGACAATGACGACATGAGCGGGGATTGGGGCGACTGGGGCTCGAGCTCGTGCTCGAGCCACCGCGCCAAACCGAAGTCCCCGAGCTTCGCATTGTAGCCAGAGTCGAGCATCACGTTGCTCGTCTTGATATCCCGATGGATAATCTGTGTCTCCAGCTGCTCGTGGAGGTAGAACAACGCGGCGGCGAGCCCTGAAACAATTTGGCATCGGCGCCCCCAATCAAGTGTCACCGTGCCCTCTGCCCTCTGGAAGAGGATCCTGTCAAGGCTCCGATTGGGCATGTAGTCATAAACCAAGAGGAGCTCATCACGCTCAACACACCACCCTCTCAGACGAACTAAGTTTCGGTGGCGGAGCTGTGCCACCGCCACAAGCTCGGCCACGAACGTCTTCTCGAAGGAACTGCTTCCACCCCTTTCAGCCACACACTTAACAGCAACAGTGGTGCCATCGCTAGGGAGAACCGCACGATACACACGTCCAAATCCCCCGCTCCCCAAAACCTCATCTTCGCAGAATCCGTTGGTCCCGATGTAGAGCTCAGAGTAACTGAAGATCCTCGGGTTGTTGCAATGAACCTTGCCAGGAAGTAAAATTCCCGGAGTGTCATGGAACTGCAGGGGTTTATGAGCACGACTCGAGGGGAAGCAATTGCAGCGCCGGGTCCAATCTCGGAGGTGGAGGAGGGAGCGGTGAAGGAGGCCGGAGATCGAGCAGCACAACGATTGGTGCTTTGGGGGGATGTCATGGCCAGAATTGTCATCTCCGGTGAAGATCTCATCGACATCCGCTGGTAAGATGATGCAGAGTCGGCTCAGCTCCATGGTTACTACATCCAGAACCCCTCTCTCTCTAAATGAGTATCTCTCTCTAAAATGGGGGGGATATATTTGTGTGTCCCCCTCTCGCTCCATGGAAGGGGGTACTGTTTGAATTTTTGGTGGCAGTTGACCTGTACATCGCCGTGGGAGGAAAATTATAAATACGACCTCACCCGCAATCACAGGCTTTGTTTCTAGAAGGGGAGGGACTGAGATGCCACATCTCATCAATTGAGAGAATAATCGGCGTGGAAGAGGCGCCCACACGCTTCGAACTTTGTCCAAAACATGTGTGGAATCCGACGTGTGAACTGAAACCCGACGAATCTCCGACTCTGTCTCCCTCCATATCTGCTCATCCACACGAATGTTTCCAAGAGAGCGCGGAAAGAGTTCAACGCTCACAAGGAAAGAGAGCAGCATACAAAGACCCGGTTTAACCCTACGTAAAGCACTTTGGTCACCAGCCACTTTTTTTGGACCCCATTTCTATGCTGCCAAGCTCGCGTATGCAGAAATGCCGGCTTCTTAATAAATATATTTTTTAAATAGATTTTAGGACTTAATTTTTAATGGCATGTGATTTCTAACATGGAAATCATAAATATGAAAAACTAAATAAATTTTAGAAACTAAAAATAACCATTCTAGTAATAAAACATTTGGGACCATTAGTTTCTATTGTTTTTAAATGGAACAACTACTTGCATCCCTCTTTAAGATGGATTATGTAAAACTACAGTCCAAGCTGCATGAAACAATTTTCGTATGGAGAATAGGACAACACGGTCAACAGTCATTGAATGCTAAAATTGCATAAACAATGTATAATTAATTAGGCTCAAAAGTTAAATAGAAAAAAAATTGCATAAACGATGTATCACCCTCAAAGTTAAAAGAGTAGAAACTTCAATATTGAGGACTACAATTGTATAATGAGGTATAATTGAGAGGCCCAAAGTTAAAAGAGAAGAAACTTTCAGAACTTAGTTCTCATTTCGGCTGAAGGCTAATGATAATTACAAAAGAGAAATAGTCTTGCATATGCAATCAGTTGGACGGACAGAGCAGTTTGTCAATAAATTAATAAAAAACTTGATTGGAGGTCGTAAGAAGCGTGGGAAACCATAAAAAAATAAAAGTATATGGCATGAACTAGTAGGTGCTTGATTGAAAAATAAAGGGCAAAAGGGGATATGCCATGACCTAGTAGGTGCATGATTGAAAAATAAGGGGCAAAAGGTCGCATGGAGATGGGAGTCGTACACAAAACAAAAGTTGATTTCATAGTCTATTGATTGTGATACCCAGATGGGTAATAAATATAGCCTTTGATATATAAAGATATGGACCCCTCTAAAGAAAACCACAAAAGGTCATTTCTTTTAATAGTATACAGATACACCTAAGGGAGTGGGTTTCCACCTAATCCTTTTGAAAAGAAAGGGTCACAACCCACCCAATCCCTTACCCAAATTTTTATAAAGTAAAATCAGGCGGCCTCAAATGCTTATTTACCCAAATTGATGAAATTGGGAATACACCAAAATTGATTGGACGGTTTGGATGGTCCCGATCGGATGGTCCCGATCACAACCGTCCATCTGCAAACCATGAGACACTCACTTCATCAGACGGTCGGGATTTCCACATCGATACGATCGAGGGAGGCCATCTACCTTTATTTGGAGAGGAAAGGATAAGATTATGATGGATGAAGAGGGGCCCTCTCCCATCAATCAATCATAGTAGCATCCAAAGGGATTGTTTGGCCTTTTATTAGGTGGATTTTAGCAGGGAGGTCCATGGCGTTAACTACGTGTTGTTGGGTGGGCCACTTTCCACCTCCATGTAGTTGTTAAACGTCACATTAACCCTACACAATCACCTCCACTAAAACCGCATCTCAGGAGAGAAGCAAACCAACTTCGTCAACTGCTGCATCTATAAATATATTTTATATACCCACTCCTTGGGATAGAATTCCATATCTAGAGAGAGAGAGAGAGAGAGAGAGAGCAAATAACATGAGCCAACAATACTCCACTGGAAGGGGTGCAAATAAGGAGATAACAATCCGTCGAAAATGTGCATCTCGCGAACCATTTTAGGGGCCCTAATTATGTAACTTCATATACAAAGAGTAACTGTACCAATAGTACCTAGAATTAATCTCCTTCCAGCACTAACCCTTACAAGTTTAAGGGGGCCTACCCCATGGCATACTTTTGGGTCCAGGTTCTGGCAGTTGTCTCGTACTTTGCCCTGTCATTCTTGTACATGTGAGCAATCTCCGGCACCAACGGGTCGTCAGGGTTTGGGTCCGTCAACAGGGAGCAAATGGATAGCAAAACCTGCAAAACCACATGTTCAGAGAACAAGAGAGAGGGAGGAATCCACACATCACACATTAGATAACCTTGAATGTTTGTGTGTGAGAGAGAGTGAGGGGGGGCACCTCCGCACAGCACACAATGGACCACGTTGGAAATAAGAGAGTGAGGGGGGGCACCTCCGCACAGCACACAATGGACCACATTGGAAATAAGAGAGAGAGAGAGAGAGAGAGAGAGAGCAAAGGATCACCTTGGATATGGTCAGGGCAGGGCTCCACTGCTCCTTGAGAATGTCCAAGCAGATGCTTCCATTGCTGTTAATATTTGGGTGGAAGACTTTGGTGCGGAATGCCACCTGAATTGAGGCGAAAAGTAAAAACTTGGTGCATACTGCAGAGTTTGGTTCCTTTTTATATATTATTATTGTCACTCCATTGTGAAAATTTTGAGAGAATCAAGACAAAAAAAGTGGGTTCCGATTCTAACCTTGGGAGGCTTGAACGGATAGTCGGGTGGGAAGTGAATCGTCACTAGGAACACACCTCCGGCATAGGGGCTTTCAGGAGGACCCATAATGGTCGCCTGCCAATGGAACATGTCTTCTCCCACAGGACCTAAAATACACACTACGAATGTCATTGTTTCTCATATCCCACCTTTTAAACATACAACTATTCCAATTTCCATCACAACGATTGAGATTACTTTTTTATGACAGACCAATTGAGGTCAATAAATGAATAAAGCATGTGCAAAGCATATGGGCATGATAACATAAATAAATTGCATGCCAATGTATAGGCACAGTCAATTACAACCCGAGTTACCAATACAATCATAAAATGTACATGTGTCAATTGGACTCATCTATGGACTACATTTGCTATGCATATACTCTTCGATAAAATGGAAGGCAAACTGCTAACCGGCTGACAATATAGCACAGAAGAATCACATACTTGTACTCTTCCTTTTTTTTCTCAAGGTTGAAGTACCAGGTTTCTGTACAAACGAGTGTTTGAAACCTGGCTTGGATGCCCAAACCGGGTACCTGCCAGGTCCAAGTCAGCTCAGCCTGCTCAGGTAAAGCAAGGGAAAAAACAAAAAACCAACAAAAAAGAGAAAAATGGTAAAATAATACACAAAAGCATACTAAAATTATTCAAAACTTAATTTGATTTTATTTCATCAAATAAGAGGAATAAAACAAAATCAAAATGAAAAAAAATTAAAAACAAAAACACTTTGAGAACAAGATGTGGAAAAAAATCATAAAAAAAAACGGTGTTGGAGAGTTTTCTTTTTTATTCAAAAAACATTGTTAATGATTTTGTAAAACAGTGTGATAGGATATTTCTAAACAAATTTGATATTTTAAGATGAATTTGAAGAAATTTGGTGAGAACAATGACAGAAAAACCGAAGATTTTTTAATTCGGGTTCAAAAAAACCCTATAAATTTGAACTCTCGATCTCTTCTATTTTGACTTACTTCCAGAAAATTGCTATAGGAATTTTCTAGAGGGCTCCAATACTAACATTTTGACCAAAATAAAATTTAAGATGATTTAGTCGTGTGTGTGTGTGTGTGTGTGTGTGTGTGTGTGTGTGTGAGAGAGAGAGAGAGAGAGAGAGAGAGAGAGAGAGAGAGAGAGTAGAC